AGAGAGAGAGAGAGAAATCAATATAAGCAGCATATCATACTCTGTTTAATTTCAACAGTATCATGTATCATACTCTGATAATTTCAACATCATGTAGCTCACCTTGATTATAAAAAGAATGCATCGAAATTCATATAAGAGAGTATCAAAATAATTTACTATTGTTCATATCAGATATAACCTAAACTCCACAAAAATTTCCTAAATTGTAGAGAGAGAGAGCCCATATCAGGATTCAAAAAAAGAGCTCGAAAAACTCAAGAGAGAGATTCCCAAGTGATGAATCATACAAAAATATCAAAAGAAATTCCACAGAGAGATGCCCACACACAAAAAGCAATTATCATATAACCAAAACCCAAAGAGAAAAACGATTGACCTTATGAAATAAGTATTGGTAACTACTGTGTGATAACCCCATGATCAAGATTTCTGAAATCTTTCATAGTTACTGATTTTATGTAAACTAAAATAATAAGAACAAGCCAAATCAACCTATAACTTTACTGATTTTATGGAAACTAGAGTAACAAAGAACGAACCAAATCAACCTAATTTTACCTGCTCAAATCAACCCCTTTGACTTGTAAAATGATTACTGTTACAATAATCTTTTACCCACCAAACCCTACTTTTAATGGCATTAGAAAAAATGAAAGCCCCAAATTTTTAGGGTAGATTTATGTAGTATAAAAACCCCTAATTTTTTAACACAGAGAGAGAGAAATTGCTCTTACTTGGACACGGTAAGAGAGATAGATCCTGACTTCGAACAGGGTGAGAGAGGTTGCTCTAAGAGAGAGATAAAAGCAGCAGTTTTGCTCGAGGTTGCTCCAAGTTTGTTGCTCTGAGAGAGAGGGTTAGCAAATTTTCTCGTCGAGGTTACCCGCACGGCTTGCTTGTAGAAAAAGAGCACAAAGAAGGGAGCCTCGAAGAGGGACAGAGAAGAGAGGCTGAGTTAGTAGCGAAGGGATTTGGAGAAATGACGCGTAAACAATTACCCGTCACGCCCCGTAATTGATTTCTTAGCTTTCCCACGTGTAATAAGCCTAATCTATTTTCATTTCCTTACTCTTTAGGTGTACCCAAACACTGAAAATGCTAGATTTCTTTGTAATCTGTTTCCTTGTAATGGATTTTCAGGTATCCAAACGACCCCTTAGTTTTATTTTCGTATTAATCCTATCTTGAAACTTGGCAGGTCCTTGTCAATCCAGTAGAGTTGCTCGTCATGTTCGGTTTTTAGAAAATATGGGTTTGGCTGATTTCCATAATTCCAGGCCAATGCTTATGCCTCTTGTGGTTAATGGCTATTAAATTTCTTTGCAAAGTATTCTTTTTCCTTGGTCTGGTCATTCAAGTCAAATGAGTCCAATGTATGATTTTTAAGTCATTTTATTGATGAATGCTCAATTCTATCGTACAATATTATGCAAAGTCTAACTTAATTTTTTGAATTTTGTTTCAATCTCCTTTCTTTAATTTCAGTCACTACCCACCCCAAAGTTTGTTTTTTCTTATTTATTATTATTTTTTAATCTCTGCATTCTAATGGTTTATATAAAATATTTGCTTCTCGAAATTATTTGAATTGTGTGCTTCACTGCCTACTCGACCATCAAGTCATTGGGCCAATCTTTACTGGTGATTGATCTATTTAGAATTTGGTTTGTGTTGCTGTTATGTGGTTTGATATCTAGGTAACAAGGGCATGGACACGCTTCTCGGCAGCATGCCACACACCTCCAGAATGGCATTGTAGGCACACATTGGTTGCATATAAAATTAGCTAAATAAGAATAGAATTGGCTAAAAATATCACACACATGTTTAAATCTTAGAATGTGTTAGACACAGGTGTCTAAATATGGATGATTGTCTGGACTGGGACATGTGTGCCCAAGAATTAGGACACAAACACACATGGCTTATTGAGACATCAATATGCACATTTCTTACTTGAAAAATTTTAAGTTTGAGAGGCAGCACATAGAAAGAATGGTTTTGAGATTATGTGGATTCATGTCTATTGAAGTTATATCGGGATTAAAGTTATTAGCACTTAGATATACATTGTTATGATCTGGGTGCAAACAATATTTTAGCTAGATAAAGTTCCCATTTTGTTAGGAAAAGGTCAAAAGAGTGTAACCAGAACTCCTTACGGTACAAATGGACACCGTGTGGATGACATGTTCATACAGTCCTTGGACAAGTAATAACTATTAATGTGTTTGGCTAAATGGGTAATTGCAGGCATGTATGTACTATCCTTCTTGGAGTGTTGTAATATAACTTATTTCCAGTATTTATAGCTGCCATGTTTACTCATAAACCTTATCCGCTGTTGCCATGCGGATAAAGGTATTTTAGTCATAAATTTATAATTTCACTGCACTCATAATAATTATAATTTCATCGTACCCTTATAATGTATGATTCTTAGAAATGTCATTTTACCAAATAGTAAGTTTTCATGAACATTGGAATCAATATGAATTTTTTGGGCATAGATGATCTTGCAAATCTTAATAATTCATCAAAGGAAGTTTTTTGATTCTTTTGAGAAAGTGTTCCTTGACACTTGACAAAATATAAATTTCTTCTGGTGAATTGTTTTGAAAAAGTAAAATTCATTAAGTATATTCATTGTAATGTTTCTTCAAATTTAATCAGTTATTAGTTCACTGAATAAGGGATCAAAACTTCTAGCTTTGTTAATGACATTCTTGATGAAAAATTGTAGGCCCACGTTTCCCTAGTGATGTTACTATTTTGAGATTTCCATTCAAAATCGAAATTCACGGTCAGCTAATTAAATGCCAAATGACCTTGATGAGTGTGTAATTCCTTATTCTGTGCTTTTGATAGAACATATGTTTAAAGAAGCATGAAACCCTAGAATTAGCTTCTAAAGTTTACAGATGTAAACTCTGTTTTGGTGGATAGTTTAGAGGTGGGATTCTTAATGTGGATATTGTGCCGTGGTCCTTTGACCCTAACCACTGAAGCCGAGTGAATGAATCCCAGTTTGACAGATGTAGGTTCCTAAATAAAAGATCTGCATCTTCAATAAAGATTTCTGCATCTTTAGCCGTACTTGTGGGCATTTGAAAGGTTTTTCACCATGTTCACCTTTAAACCCAAGGTTCTGCATCTACATTTGAATTTGAAAATGAATTCATATATTTTCTAGAGTTAATGCCAATGGCTTGCATACTTGTTGCATAATCATATTACAAAAATGACTTTTAAGATTTTCATCTTCGTACAGTGCCTCCTGCTCTATGCATATTGCTCGATAGCGTTGCTTGTATACAATGACCAAATAACCCCTCTATGTTTGTAAGAAGTATTGGAAATTATGTATATTCTTGTGTTTAGGAATATGTATTTGTACAAGGGCATTTTTGTAAAGTTGTTGCCTTAATGTAACACCACTTAGTTGAATATGAGTATCCATTGTCCTGAATATGCCTCTATTGCCTAGTTCTTTTCATGCCAAAAGTCTAGCATGCTGCCCTCCTTGTCTTTTCTCAGCATAAGAAAAATTAACATGGTATCAGAGGAGGTTTGCATAGCCTCTTAGCATGATCAACTCTAATCAAGGTAACCTATATTCCCTTCTTCTCAAAGATCCATAATCTCTTCATCTTCTAAACCTTAATCGTTCTTTCTTCAATCTTTACCCTCTTTCATCATTCTTATTCTTCTTTCCTAATCTGTCTCTCATATTTCCTCTGTATTAAGCACGCCTATTGTTCGTGCTACTGTTCACTATACTGTTCATGTCACTGTTCACAACACTGTTCATGCTACGGTTCTTGATCTATTTCTTGTTCTCCAATCCAACCCCTTTCTATACACTCTTTTAGTCTATCTCTAGATCTTTTGTCCTCTATAGACCTCCATTTATTCTCCCTTTTTTCTAGATTTCGTACGATTATTATTCATGCCCATTTTCCTCACCATGGCACGATCATCAAGGTCTAATTCCTTCTCATTCCCAAATCCTCAATGTCTCTATCAAACTCAAATTAGATAATTTTATTGTCTAGAAAGGGGTTTTGTTCCCTTCATCAGAGGCCAAGTCTCTAGGGTTATTTGGATGGATCCACTAGGCTACCACCAGAATATATTATTCAAGAAAGCACAAATTCAGATGAAAAAAGAGATCACTGTAGTGGCCAATCCTGCCTATGAAGAATGGCTTGCTAAAGATTTAAATCTTATTGGCTGGATTAATTCAACCTTGTCTGAAGAAATCTTGTCCCAAGTGGTGAATCTCCCTACATCATATGATCTTTGGACAGCCTTCAGAGTCCTACTCTCAGGAATCGGAGGACAGCCTTCAGAGTCCTACTCTCGGGAATTGGAGGCTCGTGTTATGCAGTTAAAATCTAAACTTCAAGATTGTAAGAAGGGGAAGATGTTGGTGTCTGAACTTTATGACAAGATAAAGGCAATATGCGCTCAGCTTGTAATTATTCAGCAACCAGTTGAAGATAAAGACAAGGTGCAAACATGTACTACAAGGGTTGGGTGAAGACTTTAGAGCTTTTGTTACTTCTTTGATGGCAAGGGATTATCTCCCTTCCTATGTCAGCCTTTGATCCATATTGCTACAACATTAGGCATTGTTCTTTTGGAAAGAGGACCAAAACTCGTGTCCCAGTAATGTGAACCACAATGTCCTTGTTACTAACAAGAGTAGTACTCCACAGAATTTCTTTAATACTCCTGGAAATAACAGAAGTAGCGGGGGTGGAGGTGGCAAAAATGGGTGTGGTATCGGAAAATTCTCAAGTGCTGGTCGAGGTCTCTTGCTTACTCTTAATGGAAATAGAAATAGAGTCATCTGTCAATATGTGGAAGAGGAGAACATTCAACCTGTAATTGTTACGATAGATAAAAGAATGACAATGAAATTACTCAAGGGGGGAAATCAAATTAATGCCTTGGCCAACACTGAGGGTAAAGCTGCAACATTCAATAATTATATGAAACATTTTGCCATTACTTCTCCTATTGTGGGAGCATGGATTGTGGATAGTACGTTGCCAACCATGTATCAAGAGATTCTGGTGTGTTTTCTTTCCTTGATCCTTTTACTGCTAGTGGTTCTATTATGATTGGTGATGGGTTCTCCCTCAACATCACACAGGTAGGTAATATTACAGTTGAGCTTTTTTTGGTCTTATTCACTTAAATCATGTCTTTCTTGTTCCCAATCTTAGACATAATCTGAATTTTGTTTCCCAACTAATGCATGATAATGGGATTTACTATTTATTTACTCCTGACTATGTTTTCTTGAAGGAACAACAATCGAGAATCATGTTTGCTAGGGAAACTTGTTGGGGCCAGTTATCCGTGATAGATTGCCTTGCAAAGAAGCATCAGATACTGGTCTTGAGTCTAAATGTTAATAAAGATGCCGCTTTGCATCATCATCTGGCCTATTGTAGTAAGGAGTCATCTAATAAACTTCGTAATGAGGGTGTTGTGCCCTCAAATGGTAAAGATCTTAGTCGGTTCATTTGCTATGGATGTTAGTTGGGCAAAGGTTCTAAACTTTCCTTGTCTTTTAATGAAAAAAGAGCTTCTTCACCGTTTGAGTTAATTCATTATGATGTGTGGGGTCTGCACATGTTTGTTCTTCTTCTTGTTTTTATTATTATGTTTCATTCATTGATGATTACTCGTGTTATATGTGGGTATTTTTCCTCAAAAACAAATCTGACGTATCAGGGATGTTCATAAAGTTCAAGTCATTTGTTAAAAAACATTATTTAAAACCAATTTTAATTTTTTTATATTGATGGAGGGGGATATCTCATGCTTTTAAAAACTACTTAAAGGATCATGGACCCACACTCTAGCCCAAAACGGAGATGTTGAGTGCAAGAATCGATATATTAATGAGGTACTGTCAATGTTTGAAAAAGCGGACCGCCCAACAACTAGGTGGTCCAGAAGGCTAGGCAGCCCAATTAGGCGAGGCCTAAGCGGCCGCCCAACCCCTAGCCCAGGCCTGCGCCCCACCCAGGGGTGGAAATGCCTTTTGTTGAGGGGTTGTTTTTGGATTTTTTTGAAAAAATGTTGTTTTTAAATGTGAGTTTTAGGTCCATTTGAAACCGAAACCCACTAGAGCCCATTTTAAAGAGAGAGAAACCTAAAAAAAAACTAGATTTTGTGATTTTCATTGGATCAAAGTATTTCTCAAAGTTACGGGAAATGGATCCAAACACCACACATTAATATTAGATTTAGTTTTGGAGCTTTTTTAGGTCTATTAGAGGGTGTTTTTGAAGATTTTAGCACTAGAAAACATCTCAGAGGTTGAAGTTTGGAGATCGAGCAATCAAAGTAAGTGCAAAATTTTATTTTTTAGATTGCTTGTATTATTTTGGGATGTCTCCTTCAGGATTTAGTCGAAGTGACGATCAGGGTGGGAAATATGGATATAAGCCGATTCCTTTAGATAAAAATTACATAAGATGCAATTATTGTGAAAATGGGCATAAACCGGTTTAAGAAACATCTTGTCAGTATTAAGGGGAATGTTGCCCATTGTAAAAATGTTATTGAAACTATCAGAGAGGAGATTAACCAATATATGAGTTCAGTAAAATACAAACAGGAATAAAATCCTTGTCATTTGGATATGTCTATATCTGATTCTGCGAGAAGAGGTGATCCGGGTTGGAAGTGTGGTTATAACCCAAAACCAAACTATAAAAATTGTATAAAGTGTAATTTTTGTGGAAAAGATACCAATGGGGGTATTAACTGATTCAAGAAACACCTTGCCGGTATTAAAGGGACTGTTGCTTCTTGTAAAAAGGTTCCTGAAGCTATTTGGGATGAGAATAAACAATATTTGAATTTAGTAGAGCCATAAAAGGAAGAAAATGAGCTTTGTTATATAGAAATATTTTCTCTTGGTTCTTCTAGAAGTGGTGATTCGGGTTGGAGGTATGGTCATAACCTGAATCCGAATGTCAAAAATAGGTTAATTATTGTGACAAAGATACTAATGGGGGGTATTTACTGATTCAAGAAACACCTGGCCGGTATGAAAGGAGAAGTTGCCCCGTGTAAAAATGTTCCTGAGGCTACCAGGGAGGAGATCATACAATATTTGAGTTCAGAGAAGCACAAAAAAAAAGAAAAGGGTGAAGAGGCACTAGGTAGAGTAGCCAAGACTCCTAGGGCCTCATTTCAACAGGGTAAGGAGGTAGAAGAAGAGGAGGAAGATGCAGATTCAGAAGAAACAGAGGAGGACGAGCGCTATGTTGAAGAGGGAGATGACTTTGATGATGATGATGACCTTGAATCTAATGCATATGATGAGGCCTACACTACTCGTGATGACGACGCTTGACTCTTGGTGTTGACTATTGGGTCTTAGACTGTATATTTTTGTTTTCTTATTTCTTAGTTTCCAGTTTCTACTATGTACTATCTAACTCTTGTGTGTATACTTGTATGGTTCTAGTATTGTATGGAAATATGGATTATGGACTATCTAAATTCTCCTCATACATGGAAATATGGATTATAGATTATGTGTTGTATAGTTATACTGTTTGACTTAGACACTTAGATTGCAAATATTTTTCTTTCTACTGGGCCGCCTAGGCGCTGGGCGGCCCGGATCCCCTCGGCCGCCTAGATGCCGCCTAGCGTTTTTTGAAACACTGGGTAGTATTGTGTCTTATGTTTTCTAGTGGTGTGCCCAAGTACTTATGTACCGAGGCATTCCACATAGCTTTGTACCTCATTAATAGGTTTCCATCGAATGCTTTTAATGGGATCAAGCCCAATATAGTACTTTTTGGTAAACATCTAGATTATTCTATGTTGAAGTCCTTTGGATGCCATGCTTACCAAAGATATAATCTCTCCCTTAAGGCTGAAGTGTGCATATTTGTTGGCTATGCTGATGAGTATAAAGGGTAAAGATGTTACAATCCTAGATTGAAAAGGATATTAATTTGCAGGCATGTTGTTTTTTATGAAAGGCGCTTATGGTATCCTCCAATGGAATGTTTACAAGTGATGCATGTTTTAAAGGAATTAAAATTCAGGATGATGCAATCCATCACCAACCTATGATAGTCAAATAATTCTAAAACTCAGTGGATAAACAACAAAGTAAGAAGAGAAATGCTGCGGAACATATTGGAGATGATGCTTAAATAAAAGGGGTAGATGGAGAAATGATTAAAACAAATCAAGAAGGTGGCATCCAGATTCAAGAAAGTATCCATTACGAGGCGCCATATGACCTAGGAGAAGATTTTCACCCTTCTTTGAAATCAATGGAGAAGTGCAATGAAGAACTGCAAAATAAACAAGTTTGGAAAGATGTAATTGTGGATCAAAGAAGGTCAAATATTGGATAGCAACCTTATCATTTACATCTAACTTTGCAATATTCGCAACAGCCTCAAGATAGAGAACTATACGAGAATGAGTAGTAAGATGAAGTCAATTTGAGAAGATTAGTAAGAGTGAAACTTCCTATTGACAGATGGAGAAATTTCTTTGAAGCTAAAAGAGATGAGAGGTGGATTAGAGCCATGGCAGCAGAAATACAAGCCATGCACGTTAATTGTGCTTGGTGCATTGTACGAAGGCCAAGAGACAAGAATGTGGTGAGTTGTAAATGGCTATACAAAGTGAAATATAAACTTGATGGGAGTGTGGAAACGTTAATCCAAGACTTGTGGCAAGATGATTTAACCAAAAACATAGCTTGGATTATGAGAAAAACTTTTAGTCCAGTTAAAATTGTTACTATAGGAGTTGCTATATCTCTTGCCCTCAAGCATGATTGGCCACTTATCAATTGGATGTTAAAATACTTTCTTGCCTGGAGAATTAAAGGAAGAAGTGTATATGGAGCAACCACCTGGGTTCAATGAAGCAAACCTTGTTGAATGTATTTGTAAGTTAAATAGATCTATATATGGGCTGAAGTAGGTGTCTAATACCCGATTCCACAGTTTTTATGATGCATTAAAAGTGAGGTTGTATTCGATTAGCCAATGATAATTCTCTATTCCTTTTGGAAGGTGAGAAAGGAACTGTTATTTCTTTGTTATTTGCAGATGACATTATTGTTACAGGAAGCAATATCACGATGATAAATGAAGTAAAGGAGTTCCTCAATGAAAGGTTTCAAATGAAGGACCGAGGAGAACTAAGGTATTTCCTGGGAATTGAAGTGGATCGTTCCAGTAGTGAGATTCGCGTTTTACATCACAAACATGCTTTAGATATGCTAGAAAAGGCCCATGTTCTGAATTGTAAATCTTGTCACACTCCAATAGCTTTAAATAGGAGATTATGTGCTGATCAAGGAGACCCACTGTTAGAGTCATAAAATTACAGAAGTATGGCAGGGGTGTTGCAGTATTTGACTCTTACACTGCCAAATATTTCATATGTTGTTAATCATGTATGTAGGTACATGCATGCACCAACCACCACACACTTGGAGTCCTTGAAAAGGATTATGAGGTTATGTAAAAGGTTCCATTAGTAGTGGTTTGTAGGATAAGAAAAATAAACGAGTGATTTTGGATTTGGGGTCTGTAATTGGATACTCTAATGCAGATTGAGCAGCAGATCCTGATTCTAGAAATTCAATTTCAGTTTATTGTGTTTTTCTGGGATTAATTTAATATCTTGGAGGAGTAGAAAACAAAAAATCGTCGCTAGATCGAGCACTGAAGCAAAATACAAAGCTCTTGCTGGAATGGTGGTAGAGATTAAATGGGTTGTAGTCTCATATCTTGGGTGGGTTATAAAGTTGGCAGGTGTCTATCTATTACCATAATAAAAGTACTTTAGCAATTGTGGCAAATCCAATATTTCATGATTGGACGAAACCCATTGAGATTGATTATTGAAGAAAAATTATTTGGTACAGAAAATCGAATCGCGAATATATTCATAAAAGGTTTATTAAGGGAGAGGCATAATTACCTAAGAAGCAAGTTGTACATGTTTAAACATGATTTACAACTTGAGGGGGGGAGTGTTAGAAGTATTGGAAGGTTTGTTTTATGTATATTCTTCTTGTTTCATGTATATTCTTGTATATGGGAATATGTATTTGTAGGCGGCATTTTTGTAAAGTTGTTGCCCTAATGTAACACCACTTATTTGAATATAAGTGTTTATTGTCCTGGGCATGCCTCTTTTGCCCATTCTTTTCGCGCCAAAAGTCTAGTGTGCTTCCCTCCTTGTCTTCTCTCAGCACAAGAAATAATTAACAATGTTAACATACAGATCCATGATATAGAAAATGCTATTTGTTATGCAAGTCTGAGGCGGACAACTTACGGGCTGTGGCATGTGTGACCTTTGTGTTTATCAGATACTGACAGCAAGCCTCAGGGTTCTCATGTTTTTATTTTTCCTTTGCTTTAAATTGCATCTGTTTTATTGCTCAAGTAGAATGCAAGTTTGTACTTCATTTTAACAAAAAATAAAACACAAAAGAATAAAAAGAAAAAATATAGCAACTTATGGAATTCAAACTTCCCTCTTTTAGCTGTAGGATATCACTCTCTTGGACTTATATTTTCTCACACGTTCTAAACTTGTTGACATAACAACTACAAGAAGGGAAAAAGTAAAATATCAATTCTGCTTTTAATGTCACGTGCAATTTTCATTATTTTCGAATACTTGTATTTCTGCCTAAGTTTCTTCTGTTCCTTGTGACTCCACGCTCTTCTCCTAATGAAACTGTGCTGGAATAGACGAGTAACAAAGTGGAATTCTCTTGCTATTTAAAAAATGTCATGGATATGATGCATACATATATAATTTTTTCCTTTCTGGTCATACCTTAAAGAGTGTTTTGAAATCTTATGAGCATCGTGAAAGGGTAACCTTCCACTTACTTGATGATATAGCCAATAATTTTGCTGATATGCTACCTCCATTTTTGTTAGCATCTTAGCAAAATTAGCAAAAAGTTAACTTTCATATGTTTCTCAATTTATGTTCCAGGAACGGTTAAGGGCCGAGATGGAGATGGAAATAAATAAAGTTGGGCGTGTTTCTCTGATTGATCTTACTGACATGATTGATGTGGATTTGTACCATATTGAATTGCAAGCTCAGTACATTGTTGGCAACAACCCAGGACTCATGCTTGTACAAGGTGAGATAATAGCCCAGTCTTATTGGGATACTGTAGCCGAAGAAATAAATGAGAGGCTTCAGGAGTGCAGCCAGATTGCATTAGCAGAGCTTGCTACCCAATTGCAAGTTGGCTCAGAGTTGCTATCCAGCATATTGGAGCCCCGCCTTGGAACCCTTGTAAGTTGCAACTTGCGATGGCTGATAGTTATCAAGTGTTGCAAAGATACAGTAACACAATTCATTAAGCCCTCATTATGTGTGTATCAAGCTCCTGTTGTTTTAATCCATGTAAAATCAGGGAAAACACACACACACACACACACATATATATATATATATATCGAAAAAAGCTGGCGTAGGCCCTCATTATATATCCAATTGTTGCAAAGATACATGAACACAATTCATGAAGCCCTCATTATGTGTGTATGAAGCTCAGTTCCTTT